CGGCAGCATATTCTCCTCTGCAAGAGCAGAAGCGGCAGCCCCACTCTGCGGCCACCGCACCACCACCCAGTGAGCCCCACACAATCTTCTGCATTTCTTTCTTAGGTCGCACGCCCCCGCAAGGCTCTGCCACGGCAACGCATAAAAGTGGAGGCAAAAAACACCCCGCCACTGTCGCCACTAAACCACACACCCAAAAGAAAGGCCCAAAGATGGGGTAGGACAAAGTGTCCGCGCGGACGCACCCACAGCAGCAGCAAACTCAGACAAAAGAAGTCGCCCACCCCGTGCCGCGCCGTTGTAGTTGGTGGCGAAGCGCTTCAAGACAACACTCCCACACGCTGCGCACTGCCTTCGCAAGGAAAGGAAGAATGAGTCACAGCGCACACTATTCCTTTGTCATTGTCTCAGCCTCTTCATAGCCACAGAAGGAGGTAGCAGCAGCCACAGAGAGCACTGCCAGCAGTAATGACGAAAAAATCATCCACGCGCACTGCAGTGTAAAGGTCTATAGTGTACGAGCGTGTGTGTGCATGCAGATGGTACACAACAACAAAAAAGAGTAAAACATGTGAGGATGCAGACAAGCACACAACATAGTTGCAGGGCGGAAAGAACAAGAAAGAGGAATGGCGAGACTTAATGCGGCCCACGAAGCAGCAAGCCATGGCAAATATACTTAAAGAAAAATATAAAAAACGTCTTCCATGATGTTTTCGCAAAACAAAAAAAAAAAATGTTTACTTAATTTGAAAGAGTTCCTCCCCATGTCCACACGCGTCATTTGTGACTTCATTGCAAAACTTCGGCGTGTTGCTGCTGGTCTCATCGGCCCCTATCATCAGTGCGTCACGGCGGCAGAGTGTCGCCGCTCGTGTGTGGATACGAAGGCCGCGAGCAACCAAAAGAGAAGCCTGCGTCTCCGTGCAAAAGGAGGTCCCAGCGCAAGCAACAGTAAAAAAAAAAAAAGATTCCTCATAGACATACAAAAAAAAATTCGGGTTGCACGTGTAATCCACTTCGGCGCCGCAACCCCCTGATGTCTTCTGCTGTTCAGGTAAGTGCCCCAACGCCCCACACACACCCCGTCGTGGCTCCGCCCACGCACACCATACCAACACTAGCTGCTAAAAAAAAAAAAAAGACTTCCTTCCGCTTTCATTTCCTGCTGATTTATTTTTTTTCTTTGGTGGTTTAAATTCCTCCCGTACCCGCAAACACCGCACGCATGCAAAGAAACACGCAGGCTGAGCCGCCCCGCACGAGCCGCCGCCGCCTGCTCCCTCGGGTGCCCAGAGGTCACACACACACACGCATGTGCAGCCTCTCCAAGCGGCACGGCCGCACAGTAGTGGAAGAATAAATAAAAATAAAATAATATGGGTATAACCCACAACCTTTCCTCCCACACCCCCTGCAACCTAAACCACTCCCCCCGCCTATTGTAGGTGTCCTTCCCCCTTCTCTCACTTCACTCGTCACACATGCAATCCCCTCCTTCGTCCTCTTCCTACCATCATCGACGACGAGCATCGATGGCGCTAGTTCCAGTTGCGCACAATTTTGCCGTCCTAGTTCAGTTTATCGCCCTTTTGCATGGTGTAGTAGCGGTGCGTCTTCCAGCGACGCCACGGCGAGCTCGTCTTGCCCCAGTGCAGGTTCGCCTCTCAGTACCGCTCAATGCGTTCTTCTAACATAGGCGTGAAGTGCCGTGTGAAGCCCTGCACTGGCCACGAAGCAGCTGTTGCCAATGCACAAACCGTGCGCCCCTCCAGCTGCTTCGAGACGTCAACCATGGTGCCAATTTCCTCCTTTTTGGCGTTGCCGTGCACAAAGCGCCGCATCATTTTTTCGCCCAGCCACGGGGAACCCTCGTGGCTGGGCGTACACTGCCGGCACGACTCGTGTGCGTAAAACTTCGAGAGGCGGTGGATGGCCGCGATGAAGTCGGTCGATTTGTCCATGACAATCACTGCAGCGGTGCCGAGACGTGTTTGGGCCTCCTTCAGTGCATCATAGTCCATGAGCACGTTGTCGCAGATGCTTTTCGGAATGAGCGGGCAGGCGGAGCCGCCGGGGATGACGGCGAGAAGATTGTCTCACCCGCCCCACACCCCGCCTGCGTGGCGCTCAATGAGGTCGCGCAGCGGCATGCTCATCTCCTCCTCCACCGTGCACGGGCGGTTCACGTGACCGTATATGCAGAAAAACTTCACGCCGGCGTTGTTTTTGCGCCCAAAAGACGCGAACCACTGCAGCCCGCGGCGGAGTATCGTTGGGGCGACGGAGACAGTCTCCACGTTTGTCACCGTCGTGGAGCAGCCGTAGAGGCCCACGTTGGCTGGGAACGGCGGCTTCCCAGGGCAGCACTCGAGGCTCGAGATCATCGCCGTCTCCTCGCCGCAGATGTACGCCCCAGCGCCGCGGTGGGTGTAGAGATCAAAGTCGTACCCGCTGCCACACGCATTGCTGCCCAGGTGGTGCCTCTTGGCGTACGCCTCCTGGATCGCCCGCTCTACGCTGCGCCACACGTTGTAGAACTCGCCGCAGATGTAGATGTAGCCGTAGCGCGCCCGCATCGCAAATCCGGCAATGAGGGCGCCCTCCACGAACTTGTGTGGCCTGTGCCGCATGATCTCACGGTCTTTGCAGATCCCAGGTTCGGACTCGTCGCCATTTACAACGAGGTATAGCTGGGGAGCCCGTCCGGCTTCACCTTTGGCATAAAAAAAAAAACACTTGAGACCGGACGGGAAGCTGGCGCCCCCGCGCCCCCACAGCCCGTTTGCCTTCGTCTCCGCAATCACCCAGTCGTGCCCCTTCAGCAGCAGGTCCTTCGTGCAGTACCAGTCACCCTGCCGCTCCGCGCTGGCCACGTCGGTGCCGAAGTCATCGTACAAATTTACAAAAATGTGGTCCTTGTTCTTCAGTCCGCCGTGCGTCTTTTCCAACAACACCGCGGTCGAGGTGAAGAGACCTGCGCGACGGAGCATCCCTGCTAGCGGCGCGTCACGCACACACCCACCCACCCACCCTTGGTCACCACTACCACTAATAAAACGACCACCACGAGGAAGACTAGTACTATGCATCCACGCCCCCTGGAGTGTCGCGTACACTACTACCAATCAACGACTCTCGGCTACGACTGAGCGACAGATTGGCACCTCGCACGTACTCGCGTGCTGCAGGAGTTGCACTGCATTGTCTAAAGCTAAAGCGGCAAAAAGAGACAAGCAAAACAAGTATGCAAAACAGGCAAGATACACGCAAAAAAAAAAAGACAACACCGCGCCGCGCGCAGTAGGTGGTGGGAAAAACGACATCCCACAAGAAGGCCCCCCCCCTCCCTCCCCAAACTCCCCGCGCATACACCAATGATGGCCCTAGTACTAGCGCATTTGCCTGTATGTGCAAAGAGAGAGAGAGAGAGAGAGGCGCGCGTGCGCGTCGTTGCCTCCCCCTCTCTCCCCTTCGCGTCCCTACGCCTTCTCGCTGGCGGAGAAGTTCGCCGCCTGCTTGTTTATGCCGCGTGCGAGCTCCACCGACTGGCACAGGTGAAACCGCTCCGTCAGCTCTACGCAGTGCGGATCCCAAAAGCCGCGATCCTCGATGCACGTCTGCGCCTCCGCCCGCATTTCCACGCACTTCTCCACCTCCGTCTGCTCCCGCAACAGCTGTTTGAATTTTTCTGGCACCTCCTCCCAGGGCATCTGCCGCCCATTACCGATGCTGTACGGCGTGCCGCCGCCTTTCACCACAACCATTCCCAACCCCCTCACTCGCCCTTCTCCCCCACCTGTTCCTTCTGCTGCTGTGCGCAGGAGGAAATGTTACCTACCCAAAACAAAAAAGATAAGCAGAAGACAGCGTAAGAGAAAGACGCACGCCAGGCCGCGCCTCGGCATGGAAACCTACATACACATTTATGTATCTGCCTACGCGCCAGCGGGCGGGCGGGCAGCACAAGGCGCCGCAGACCTGTGGTGGGGAAGTAGCAGCATGAATTGTAAAAGACATCAAGTAAATATTTAAGACAAAAACAAAAGCAATGGAAAAAAAAAAAAAACATCCCTCCCCCGCCCTCCGTTTGTTGAATGAACCCTTCAACCTCAGCCACCCACTTGCTTATGACAATTGACTTTCCCCTGCCTTGCCTGCTTGATTTTGCTTCTTCTTTTCATCCCTTTCATTCCTTTCTTACCCCCCCCCCTACTCTCTCTCTCTTTCTCTCTCTCACAAACATACATTCTCTCACTCTCATTCTTGTCTTAGCTTGTGGCGGAAGCTGCATGTTTATTTATTTTTTCATATATTTTTTCCATTTTCCCTCATGGTGTTCCCCCTTTTTTCCCGTCCAGGCAGTGCATTTTTGTTCCTACAACCTCCTAATGACTGCCACAGCGGCCGACGCGCCTCTGCCCGCGATGTAAACAGCAAATACACAGACAGTGGTAGTGAGAGAGAGAGAGTAGGAAAAGGGAGACACCTTTGTCTGTTTGCGTATATGTGCGCGCATGCGTGTGAATCCCTCTATCTCTATCTCTCTCTTTCTCTTTAAATTTATATTAGATAAAGATATGCAGCTAGATCGATTAATTGATACATATGCAAAGGAGGAGGGACGCCAACGCTCCGCTCCGCTCCCACCCGCCTCCGTCCTTCTCCACTTCTCCTCCCACGCCACGCACATTGTTGGGTGCGGTAGGCGGAGGCGAGAGACACTCGCAGCAGTTAATTGCACGCGCGAGCGACAGAGAGCAAACGTGGCGGGAAAGGAAGGAAGGGATTGACGGCGCCACCACCACCACCGGCAGACGTACGGAGACAGACGAAGAGAAGAAAAGACACCAGCAGTTGTCGCTTGTACCTCGCGCGCCTGAGCGACCATTTGCGTCGCTGCAGCGGGAGTGAGAAACAAGAGTGCATTCCCGCACCGTTTGCGTGCGGGTCCTCCTCCTGCCATCGCTGGGCACCTTCGCGTTCAAGTGTGTGTATATGGATGGGTGAGGGTACACGCCTGAGCGCGCTGGAAGACCTGTGACTCGAGTGAGAGCCACCCACGCGCCAAAAAATTGCGGGCGTGGGGACCGGCAGACGTGCCAAAAACTCAATGAAGCGCAAAACCAAATATATATATATATATATGTTATTATTATTATCGGGCAGCAGGAGAACCAAAAAAAAAATTAAAAATAAAAAAACGACCACCCACCAACAGCAACAATGATGACAAAGACGGCACGATTTGTTGTGTATATGTGCCCTGCGGCAGCCACGCCTGAAGTTGCATGTCTGCAGTAAAGTGCATATATACTGCACTCTGCCTGTCGTCGCTGTTGCCGAGTGTCTCCCGCTGCTCTTCCCGCGGCATCTCCGCTGCGCTTCACGAGTCCCTTTTTTGCGGCACTCCGGTGGTGTCCCAACTCGGCGCGCATCGCGGTCTTCCTTACCTCCTCACATATACACCTACCCACCCACACGCACACCTCCTCCTGCTTCTCTGTTTTCCTTTCCTTTCTCCCCTTTGAAGAACCCTTTTTCTCTCCATTTTTTTTTGCTATTTTTCTTTTTTTTTCTCTTTTTGCTCGTCCTTTCGGTGCCGCCCGTCCGTCGTGACTCTCCCTCGCGGTGAGGAGGCGTGCAGTAAAACGGCGGCACTAACAAATATATATATATCTCACATGTTTCCTTCTTTTCCCTCCTTCCTACCTCTTCTTCCCCGCCTTCGGAGCCCGCGTGTACCCTTCCTCCTGTGTCTAGGGGTTGCTTGCGCCGGCTGCCTGCACTCGCCTCGCCCCCTCCCCCACCATCACAATACCAAGACAAACATAACACAAACACGCCCCGCGGGGCGGCATGTAGGCTGCGTATTCGGTGCGTGAAAGTTACGCGAGCTTCACCGCTGCCGCCGCACTCACGAGGCGGGCAGTCTTCGCCCGCCACATTGTGATGTAGCAGACAGCCGCCGCCATCGTCATGCAGACACTCATGAAGACGCAGACAAAGGTGTAGTTGCCATGGTAGCGCTGCTGCAGTTCTGCCTGGATGGGCGGGGCGGAGAAGCCGCCGACGACGCCGGCGAGGAAGACAGAGCCCATGTAGAAGCCGAGGTTTGGCCCATGCAGCCGCTCGGCAATGAGGGCTGGCATGACGGCAAACATGCCTGCCATGCAGAAGCCAATGACGCAGAGAAGGAGTGCAAACGCGACGTAGCTGCGGCAGAAGGCCAAAAAACCGCAGAAAACACCCCCCACGGTGGCGCACGTAACATACGCAAACTCGTTCGTCGTGCTGGTCGCGAGCCAACCGATGAGGACGGAGCCAACAATTTGAAACGCGCCGTAGAAGGTGAAAAGGGTGGAGGCAATGTCCGTGGGGATCGGCTTCTCAGCTGCGTACACGGTGCCGGCCTTACCCATGGACGATACGTACGGCACGGCCACGTAAATCAGTGAGAAGAAGGCCCAGCTGAAGATGAGCCAGCAAAAGAAGTTGCCCATAAAGGCCCGCGAGAAGATGCTGAGAAAAAGCTCCCACGGTGTCAGCTTGTGCGTGTGCAGGCTGCGTCGCGTGGACGCCGTCGCCTCGCTGCTGTCATGTGCCTCCTCTGCCTCTCCCTCGTGCTGCTGTTGTCCCTCGTTGCTGTTGTGCATCGCAGCCTCCTCCTCCACGGCATCCAGGCTGGAGTCGCGGCGTGCGGAGAGCAACGTTGCCACGACGCCGATGGCGCAGAAGGCCGACATGAGCCGAAACGTTTTGCGCCAGCCGTACATTACAACCCATTTGCCGGCGAAGGAGGGGATTATAGCGCTGCCAACGCCGCCGCCGGCAAAGTTGATGCCCATCGCGAGTCCCTGGTAACGTCTAAACCAAGAGCTGGTAGCGGCCGCGCCTGGCGACAGCATGCAGGCTGAGGAGATGGACGCAAGCAGACAGTAGGTGAAGGTCACGGCGGTCACGCTGTGGGCAAAGCTGGAGCTAATCCAGAGGCCAAAAAAGAGCATCCCGGTGGAGATGGCCATCATGAGGCGCGGCGGCACGCGGTCCACCAGAAACCCACAGAGCACCCCGAACAGCGGCGAGAGGCCGAGCGAGACGGAATTGCCGAGGCTTATGGCCGTGATGGACGGGTACCCAAGCGAGGGGTCCTTATGCATGTCGTCGGAGAAGATAGAGTAGCTGTTGTCAATGCCGTACGACATAAGCTGCATGAGAAGGCCGGAGATCGCCACGAGAAACCCGAGTGGGTGATCCACCGGCTTCCGTGTGAAGGATGGTAACATGACTTGGTTTGGTATTTTTCTTCTTCTCCTCTTACCCAGTTTCTTTTTCGCTTGTTTGGCTGGATGGCTGCTTGGTAGGTTAGTTGGTTTTCCTTGTGTTGCTAGGCGAACATGTAGGGGGAGAGGGGCAAAGAAGCAGATGACAGAAAGAGAGCCAACAAACAACTCCACACGCACGCAAAGGAAGGAGAGGCAGAGCGTCGGCAGCGACAGCGGGTGCCTAGCAAGAAGGCCACAAAGCGCGTACACACACATACTACCCATGGAGAATCAGATACGTGCGCATACGTTTCCGGGTTTGTATGCACACACGCACACACATATAACACTATATATATATATATATATATATACAGAGAGAGAGAGAGAGAGACATGCATGCCTGCGGTGTGCGGGCGGGTCTACTTTGTAATGCTCCACACGAGGGGTTCGTTGCGGCAGAACGGACAGGTCCCCAGCATCTGTGCGTCCGTCACGCAGAGGATGTTCCCGCAGCACCACAACTCCACAAAGCAGCCCTCCGCCGGCTCTTCTAAGCACACGCCGCAGACGTTCTCGTCCTCACCGTACGGCGTCGTCTGGCGCCCCGGGGCAGTCACGACTTGTGCGGTGGGCGCCCACTGCTCCGTTTCCGTTGCCTCCACCCGATCCACCGGCACGACGCTCATTTGCACAACGTGGGCGAGACTTGCAAGCGACGAGAACACGCAACGTAAACACACACACACACACACTGGAGCGCAAGGAATAAATGCTACAAGGCACACTTGTCACACACTACGGAGACCAAAAAAGAAGAAGAGAGAAGAGCAGCTCGTTGAAAGGGAATGTTCATCCTGCGCCTCCGCGTAAGTGTCTGGTGGCGCAGTTGCAAAGCCACAAAAACGAAAACACACGGAGGGAAAACCAACTAAAAAGTGAGGCGCGTCTTCACCGCCAAAAAAAAAAGAGGTAAAGAAGAAGGGGAGCGCCTGCGTCATCATCATCGGCACCTTTTGTCCAACCCCCACTATGTCATTTACTCGGACTCATCCCCTCGCCGTCGCCGTCGCATTTATCATCGCCCTCCCTCCATGTCAACCGCTCCTGCTGCCGCCGCCACTGCTGCTGCAGGTTCCGTTCACGGTTTGCCACGACGAGTTCGCGGCGTTCCGCCCTTGATAGCTTTTGCGGCCTTCTCTTCGTCTCATCAGGCCCGCCACCACCGCTTCCGTGCCCGTCGCCAGGCGTGCAGAGGGGCGAGGGGGTGGTTGAAAAGTACCGTCGCGTGGCGTCCCGCTTCCGCAGCAACTTGGAGCGATAGTGCATGTAGTCCGCGTTGTCAGGGAGGTCGGTGACGTCCATCAGGGCACGGAGATCCTGCGGCTGCCGCGTCGCGGCGCACGCCTCACGCGAGGGCGACGGAAACGGCAGTGGCTGCGTCTTCTCCAGCACGACAAGGCGCCGCACCACCTTCAGCGAGATCCGCTGTGGCATGTCGCAGACGAGACGCAGCGACGGATGCGTTGGCAGCTCGTCGTCGGTGTACTGCGCGGTGGTGGGGTACCAGAAGACGAGGCGCCCACCCAGCACGAGAGCCTCAGCCGCAAAGAGCAGCAGATCCAGCGTGATACTACTGACCGGGTACGTCGCCAGTTCATCCGCCCCCGCCACCAGCGCTCCCGGCGGACGCTCGGCCTTCTTGCGTGGCTCGCGGATGCCATACGGGGGGTCCGTCACAATGGCGTCCAGAAACCCGCGATCCTCCGCGCCGTGACCAGTCATCGAACGCTGCGCCCCGTCGTCCACGTTACAGGGACGCAGCGCGGAGCGCCAGGTGGCAAAGTTCAGCCGCACGCGGTCCGGCGCCGTCAGTCCGTAGAGTTTGAAGTTCGTCCACATCGATGGAGCTGCCGCCTCCGCCGCGCTTATGCCGGCCCGCACGAGGGCCTCCTGCGTGTGGGACCGCCACACAGCATCCTGCTGCTGCTGCTGCTGCCTGCTCGCCCTGTACCGCAGGGAACCACTCCGCATCACCCGCCCGTCGGCGTCCGCGCCGAGTGTGACGGCGCCGTAGTGGGCAGCGGCCACAAGAATGCTGCCGGTGCCACAGAAGGGGTCAAGCACGTACGCCCCGCGCCGCACCTTCGCCATGTGCACCGCCACGAAGGCTAGCTCCGGCGGCATCGACGTGGTGCCAATGTACGGGCGCCGCCTGAGGTCATACGTCGCGAGCAGCCGCTGCCGCGCGGATTCAGCAACCGGCACGCCGCAGAATACGCACTGCACACGACCGCACGGCTGCCACGACGCTGGGGCCCCAGCGGGCGCATTCTCAAGCGCGTGCTCGATCACAACGGCAACGCGATGCGGCGGCTGCTCCGCCGCACGTGGGACAGAAGCTTCGCACGGAAGCTGCAGCGCGGCGCCGACGCGCGCCGCCAGTGCCGACTTCTCCTCCACTGTGTAGCGCCGACCGATTGTCTCCACCCGCACGGTGCAGTCCATGTGGCGGAGCGTCTCGTCAGACCGCAGCAGCCCACGCAGACACCGCCCGCCCTCATCGCCCCCGTCGGATGTGGAGCTGCCGACGCACACCAGCAGGTCCTCCAGGGAAGCCGCGGCAGCGATGAGAAGGTGCACGGCGCGCAGCAGCACACACCGCCCAGCGAGCTGCTGGGCTGCTGCAACGGACGCCGCCTCAAAGACGCAGAACGTCCTGGACGCGGTCTCCACGCAGAGCCACGGCAACAGCTCCAGCACGCTGACTTCCACCCCCAGCGTCATCGCGGCAGCGCGCAGCTCCTCCACGCAGAACGCCGCCAGCGAAGAATTGCATGCAAACCATGCAAAGAAAAGCATGTGGCCCCGCACCACCCCCCACCTACCCCTTTTTTTTTTTTTTCCTCCCCCCTCCTCCGCTTGGCGCTATAAGTTTATCTCTGCGTCTCTCTCAGTGTGTGTAAGCTGCGCTCCCTCGCCTTCTTCGTCTCGCTCCTCCGGTTCTTTACGTTCTTTCCGTCGCGGCCGAAAAAAAAAAAAAAATGAGACAAAAGAAAAGGGGGAGCGCAAAAACTATCGCAGATGCATCCGTCGTCCGCCGACGGCAAGTGCACGTTGTCTCTCGACCTGCGGTTTCCGTTTCTCTCCTCTCCGTCTTCTCTGCTTCCCGCGCCGGGGCTAAGACAGTAACCCAGAAGCTTCACATTGTGTGTTATCGTTTGTTTGTTTTTTTCCGCGTGTTTGCTGTACATCTGCGCCCGCCCACCCACGTGCTGCGCCTTGGTACTCTACCCCTTCGTGCCGCCTGCTACTCCTCCTCACCGCACACACACACAAGCATACACACAGACAGATAAATGCGCACGCGTTGGCGTCGATCCGTGGTGCACTGCCACAGGTGTTCCTACGACGACGGCGGTGGCAGCTGTTGCTGCCCTTTATACAGCGCCGCCAGCCGTGGATCCTCTGCGAGGCGCTGCGCAAGTTTGGCGTACTTCTCGCTGGATTGATCAATGTGTTTGGAGAGTCGTTCGTCGAGCGCCTTCACGCGCCACGTGGCCTCCTTGCAGTACTTTGCGAACTCCTCTTCATCGCGGCCGGCGTCAAGACCGGCAGCGTCTAACTTGTTCTGGTATGCCGCCTGTTGTTCGTTGAACTCCTTCTTCTCCGCGTCCATCTGAGACTTCATGATGTGGCCGCGCTGAATAAGGCGCTCCTTCAGCTCCCGAAGCGCTTCGCCCCGCACCTGCCGCGCCTGGTCGAGGGTGAGGGTGACGTTCAGGTAGTCACCGTCAAAGCTGCCCGGGAGCTCCAGCTTCGCGATGTACGGCGCAAGATAGTCCTTGCGGGAGGCCTCGCGTGACGCCTCCTCCGCGAGCTTGCGGGCACGATCCGCCTCCGTCTCGTGCGGCCGGTTGCGCAGAGTGTCGAAGACGGAGAGGACCCCCCGCACCTCTGGCTCACGCGCCTCCCGCAGGGCGGCGAGGATGCCGTTGCACTCCGTCATCATCCCCCGCACCTTGCCGAGGCAGACGCTCTCCCACCAGGCGAGCCGCTTCCGCTCGTTGTACTGCTCCAGCTCAGACGGCTCCACAGCGTTCGGCATGAGGACGATGGTGCACGGCAGCGCCGCCGGGAAGCTGCCAGCGACGGTGGACGCCAAATACTCCTCCCCACGTGCTGCCTTTGTGTACATGCGGTAGGGGCGTATGATGCTGCCGGGCCGGTAGTGGAAGTACACCCACATCTCCCCCCCGCTGCCGTTTACAAAGCGCACAAAGGTGTACTTCGCCACGTCCTCGTCCGGCGGCAGCGCCTCGTTGCGGTGGTACTTTTCACTCACCCGCAGTGGCTCCACACGCTGCGTCTCATCAACCTGGCGCTCGCTAAAAACGCTGCTGCGGTTCCGCGACATCCGCTGCACACCACCGCTGCGCTCAAAGGAGGCACTGCGGTACCACAGACGGTCGTCGCGTTGGCGGTAAAACTCCTTCACCTTGCGCAGCATGCAGCCCTCGTAGAAGAGTTCCTGGCGCCTCCACAGGCCGTCATCGCGCGCGTCCCAGTAAAAGGTCATGGTGCGCTCCACGCCAGGCCCGTGTGTGAAGAGGCGCAGCCCCTCCACGGAGGCGTCCCGCATTCTGCCGCGGTCGTACCACTCCTTCAACAGACGATATGGTTCGGGCTCGCCGGCGCGCGGATTAAGATTTCTATAGTGGACGCCCCCCGCCTCTTTCGCGTCATTGTCGCGGCTGAGGTTACTCTCGTAACCGTCGTCCTTGAGAGGGTAGATGGAGCGGCGCCGTAGCTTGTCAGCCCGGTGCTTGAAGAGCGTGTGAACCTGCTTTTGATGAGGATAAGTCGTGTCGGGAAGCCACAGCTCCGTTACGCGGTGGTCCGGCATCGCATGGGGCGCAAACCACCGCACCTCCGCGTTGGCGTAGCGGACGAGTTTCATGCCTCCTGGGTAACGACGCTCGTACTGCTCCCGGCTGAGCGTCAGGTCCTGCACCCACGAGCTGAAGCCGTGCCGCGATACTTTGTCACGCAGCGTGTGGGCAAAAACATTCATCGTGCCAGCTGCCAGCAGACAACCACTGGTGGCGCCACTGCTGATGGTGCCCCCGACTGCCATCGTGGTGGCGGTCAAGTTTGGGAAGCTTGTATCCCCCCCGCTGCACGTCCACCACCGTACACCCGTTGTGGTGTTGTGGTTGAATCGCTTGCCGGTGGCCTGAAGCGACGTCTCCTGCTCCTCCTCCGCGTCGGGGTCAAACAGCATGCCCTCCCACTGGGTACCATCTGCGAGGTCCAGCGTGAGCGCACTGACCGGGACGTTGGGCGCGAGGTTCACATGGTAGTTGCGCCTGTTGAAGACGGCCTCAATGCCCTTGTAAAAGGTGTCCGCTGCGCTGTGTGGGATTAACTCCCCCGTTGAGGGCTCCACAAAGACTACCTCCCTCTGACTCTTGCGGCCCCCAGGCAGGACAAGCAGCCAGCTGTGCAGCAGCCGCTGCGGCGCTTGCCTCTTCTCCTCATTCGCCTTCTCCCCCTCATCGAGAGTCTGCGGGCCAGCGGCACGCACCCCCCCCGCATCCTCGGCGACCGCCGCCCCAAGCACCGCAGGGTTCGCCGCCTGTTCCTTTGCCTGCTTCTGGTGCTGCTGCGGAGCAGTTGGCTCGGGATCGTGCACCCCGCGCAGCGGCGGCCGGTCCTTCACGAGTTGGGTGTATTCTGCGTCGAGATCCGGCTCTACCTCCTGCTCGTCGTCGGACGCTACCTCGTCAAAAAGGCCCTCGCTGTCAGTCCACATACGCCTCGTCTGGTCGTTCTCGCAGACGAACCGCCGCGCGTAGCCCACAACAACGTACACGTTGTACCCCGCCCCCGCGAGCGCGGAGGCAAGAAGAAGGCTTAACTCAAAGCAGTTGCCCACCTGCCACTGCAGTGCCGTCGCCGGGGACACGACGACCTCCGGCAGCTCCTCCATATCCTCGAGGACCTCGTAGCGCATGTACCCCGCGAAGTAGCGGGCGCACGCCGCCAAGTCAAACATCTCCTCAAAGACGAAGACAGTCGGTTTGATGAAGGTGCAGATCATCTTGCGGGTGCGGCACTCGTTCAGCGGGGTGAGCAGTAGCGGGGCCCGGTTCGGATAGTACTCGTGATACTGCGCCCGGAACAGCTCCGTCGCCGCGAGCAGCTCCGTCTCCCCCACGGATGCGACGGCGTCGGTGTACGACGGCGGGAAGCTCTCGGCAAGCAGCCACCGTTCAAAGCGCTCCGCCCGTGTCGCGTCGTATGCTGCCGTACTTCCGCTAAACATGTTGTTTTTTGTCGACCCCTTATCCTCCTCCCGCTACTGATACCGCCGCCGCTACCCTGGTTTTATGCTTTTTTGTCCGTGTGCCGTCACCCGCCACCTCGGCCCCCTCTTCCCTCCTCTTTGTCTCCTTCCTCCTCCTTTATGTGCCCTATTTGCTTCTCTGCTTCTCTCCCCACCGCTTACACCTTTCTGCTGGCAGAGACAAAAAGAAGCGTATGTACGTGTGTGTGTGTGTGTGTGTGTGTGTGTGTGTATGTATGCGATTGGCCTCCCGCACCCACGCACCTCCACCGGCGGAGTAACGGCAAAGTAAAAAGGAAAAACAAACAGAGATAGAGACAAACAGGCTGAAAGACGCACGGCGCGTGCCGCACCACTCAGACAGGCAGACGGCCAGACAGGCGCACCGCCTCCACGGCAAGACAATAAAAAAAAAAAGGAGACGGAGGACGGCAAGTAGAACAACTAAGCAATACAAACAAACAAAGAAAAAAGTATTTGGTTTCACAAAGACCGCAGCCTCTGTTTCGTCGCTCCTCTCCTCCCCCTCCCTCTGTCTCAACGCAGTGACTCCGGCCTGGCGACAAGGACCGTCTCGTACGTGCGGCGGCAGTACAAGTCCCAGTATACGATGCCCCACGCCACGCTGGCAACGCAGACGATGGCGCAGTAGAGCGGTGTGATGGTGAGCAGGTTGACGAGGTGCGGCATCGCCAGCATGCCGTTGAGGTCGTGCGGCTTAAAGGCCTCGTAATTCATGCAGGCGGCCTCGTTGCGGGCACCCACCTCGGCTCCCTGCGCACTCGCCTCGTACATGTGCGTAGAACGCGCGTGCAGCTGCATGGGCTGTATCTTGAAGTCCTTCGGGTCCTTCACCGGCGCGGCCGCTGGTGCGGCCGCATCCGGCGGGCTCCGCAGCGTCGCGCACAACGCAAAGGCACCACCGTGCCCCGTCAGTCGAAGCACACTGCGCCGCATACACTTTTGCCTCCGCACTTCTGTCGTCTCGCCTCCCTACCGTTGGCAATAATAATAATAATACTTGAATCCCTTACTATTTTTTTTTCTCCTTTTACTCCTCTCTTTCTGAAGCTGTCTGTAGCTTTGCGTACAGAGAGCGTGAGGAAGGACAAGTAAAATAGCAACCACTATATATATATATATATATGCCTCTTCTACACACACGTATGGTGGAGTGCTGTCTTTGTTGTTATTTTGATTTTGCTACTGTGACTTACTACGCTGCTGCTTGCTCCACCGAGGCACAATGCGGACCCCCCCCCCCCCCAATCCATCCCAGCGGGAGAGGAGGAGTAGGAAAAGGAAAAGGCAAGGGGAGGAGAAAGAGAGACGTGAGTGCAGATGTAAACGCATGCAAATTGCCGCAGAGCAGGGAAGGAAGCCAGCCACAGTTCCCGCGGAGGCAAAAGGCGAAAAGGGACACACGAACGATAAGCTACAACGTTACCAACCGGCAAAACACCAACAGATGGGGAGGTGCAAATGCGGTGTAAGGACTGCGTGCATGCGTGCGTCCAAGTGTACGGCCCAAAGAAGCTACGGCAGCGCAACTTACGCGGTGCCTGCGGAAGACGACGCGGAGGAAGTGGTGACTCCGCCGCTGCCACCGCCTGTGACAGCGCTGAGAGTGTTAAAGACGGAGAGGGCCTGCGCCGAGAACTCCGCGGGGTCTCCAACATTCTTCCCAAGGACCACCGTGTTGGTCGCCTTGGCGAGTTCGCCGAACTTATCAATGTATTTCTCCGCCACCCGCAGGGCGACAGCGTCGCTGCTGCGCGGGGTCTTCTCCAGCGACGCCGCGACCACCGTGACGCTCTTCGAGACCGCCTCGGCCATGACGCTGGTGGCCGTCGCCTCCGCCTCTGCGCGCTGCACGACGGTGTATCGCTGCGCCTCGGCGGCGCAGCGTTGGGCCCGCTTGAGCCCCTCCGCGCGGTTCACCTCCGCCTGCGCCTCGCCCTCCGACTGCAGGATGAGCTGCCGCTTGCGCCGCTCCGCGTCGGCCTGCAGATCCATGGAGCGCCGCACGAGCTCACTGACGGTGATATCGCGTATCTCGTACCGCTTGCACTCGATGCCCCAGTCGTTTGCCTCGCGGCGCAGCACCTCGACGATGTTCTTATTGAGCTGCGTGCGCTCGCGGAAAAGTGTGTCAAGGTCGAGGCGGCCGATCTCGCTGCGCATCGTCGTCTGGGCAAGGTTCAGCAGGTTGTAGACGGGGTTCTCAATGTTGTAGCTCGCCTTCGCCGCGTCGACGATGCGCAGGAAGAGGACACCGTCTATCTCTACCATGACGTTGTCGGAGGTGATAGCCGACTGATTCGGGATCTCCACCCCCTGCTCCTTCACGCTGTAGCAGTAGCGGATTCTGTCCAGCAGCGGCACCACAAACCACCAGCCGGGGTCTAGCGTGCGGTGGTAGCGCCCCAGCCGCTCCACGACGTACTGGCGACCCTGCGGAACGATGTTAAGGATCGTGTTGCGCGGCACCGGCATCACAAAAGAGGCGGGGTTGAGGTAAACACGGGAGCTCCGCTGCATGAGCAGCCGCCCCCCTCCCGTGTTGGGACCACCGCCGCTGCTGCTGCTGGCGTCAGTGGCGGTGGTTGAGACGTCGTAGGTGGCCCCCGCAGCGTTTGGCGGGCCGTACGGGTACGACAGAGGGGCGTTGTACTGCAGCCTTCGCAGGGTGCGGCGCAACATGTGTGGGCGTGAGAGAAGTTACCCAAGCAGATCTAAAACAAGCACCGGGTGTCGCGTGTGGACCCCGAGAGAAAAAAAAAAAAAAGGAAAGATGGCGTGCAGCAACAAAAAAAAAAAGGAAAACATGAAGCGGCAAAAGGAAGTCGGTGTTTCCCTGCTTCTGTTGTAGAATCCACACACGTTTCAATCCCTCCTTCTGCAGGGTGGGGACGGGAACGGACACAGAGGACCCAGAAGGATGCGTATTATTTCATGTCCCATCTAGTGGAGCGGCATCCTGTCAGTGGCGGAAGCGGCAGACGTCGACGTCTCCGACTCAGCCACTATGCGCCCTTGCGCTCCTGTGGCACCGCCGCTGCCGCTGCCGCCGTCGTCGTCCAACGGCTTCGCCGGCTTCTGGTAGGAACGCGCAAGGGACAACAGCTCACGCAGTCGCGCAACAGCAACACCGCATTCCTGCTCGCTAAGCACGTGTTCGTAGCGTGACGAATGCACGCCGGCCTCCTCGTCCCTTTCCGCCTTCGTCTGTTTCACGGCATCCGCGACGGTGCCGCTGACAATGTCGCGCTCGCGCGCCTCGTGCAGCATAACAAGGTGGTGCAACATCATGGAGCGGCCAATGGCGTCCAGCATGTAGTTTGGTGTAAGACCCAGCTGCTCGGCGGGATCGCAGGCACGTTCCTCGGCGGTGGTGGGCGCGGGCACCGGTGGCATGCAGAGAAGGTGTATAAAATGCTCCCAGAAGGCCTCACTGACGTGAAAGCGGTAGTAGCGCATGGCAAATGGGATGCATAAGCTCTTCATCGGGTCCTCCGTGAGGTCGCCGTACATCTGCGCCCCCTGCGCACGCGAGACCGTCGCGGTGACTTCCTTCGAGAAGACCACGTGCGTTGCGCACGCCACGAAATACGGCGACTCCGCACACGCCTCAAACACTCGCTTCAGCAGCAGTGGGCGGTCGCGGGCAAACGCCTGCGCCGCCGGGAAGGAGGCGTACTGCTGCAGCAGTGAACGATAGTAGACAATCTCCATGTCGTTCAGCGTGGCCCAGGCGGCGGCAGCCGTATACAGGCACTCGCGATGATCCTGCGGCACCAATGCCGCCAAGTTAAGCAGCGAGTTCACCGCCTGCTCGTCAGCCCGCACGTTCACCAGCAACGCAGCGCGCCAGAGGTAGAGCGCCATGACCTCCCTGCGCAGGGACTCGCTTTCGAGAAGCGGGTTGACGCCCTCCACCGCGCTGTCACTGCCGTACTTAGCATCGGCGGGATTGAAGCCGTCAACGCTGAGCTGCTGAGTCTGCTGCTGAGTCTGCTGCTGCGCCCGGTTCAGCTGCAGCGCCGCCAGCAGAGTCCGGCCGCTCGCCGCCTCGCGTATCTGCGCGCTGGCGAGCTGATGGATGCCCTTGATAGCTGCGTCCAGTCGCTCCTCCCTGGCAAGGCGCACCAGTTTCCGTATCTGTGGCGTCGGCGCGTCGTCCACCTCGTACGCGAGACGCTCGGCAAGCACCTCCGCCCCTTTCGTCACTGGCCGCATCGCGAAGCAGCAGGGGAAGCGGCAGCGGTAGTCGTTCTCCACGCAGCGGCCCGCCCCGCCGCAGCGGTACTGCAGGTCGAAGACAGTGCTCCGCACACTCGCCTCCCTCCGCAGCGCCTCCGCGGAGTTGGCGTCTGCGGGCGCAACGTCTGCAGCTCCGCCACCAAATCGGCGCTCCTGTACGACTTGACGCAGCCGGGCGACGACAGGGGCCTCGGGCCGCGCCCGCACAAAATCCGAGCAGTCAACCTTCGAACGCGGCAGCCGCTGTGTCTTCCACACGTTAACGACACGCGAGAAGAATGATTTCATCGCCGTCCCGCACCCCCTCCCCCTCCTCTCGCTAGTTCCCAGCCCAGCCGGTGGTATCGCCGCGTCGCGACGTATAGCGTCCAGTGGCCGCCACAAAGCGCTAAATTGCCGTATTTCTATCGGTGCTACTGTTTCTGCTTCTCCTGCCGCTTTTGTTGTTTTAGTTCTCTGCTTTTCGTGCAATGCATATTTGGGACGTTGCACATTAACGCCACGCGAGCGGAGACGGAGAAACATGAATCACACAAAGAGAGGGGTAAAAAAAGGGGGGAAAACAAAGGAGGAAAAGGGAAAGGGATGCACCTGCACACCGACCTGTGTGCCCAGGCGGAGGCGTGCGTGGGGATCGAGACAGAGACAGAGAGAGACGCACATGTATGCACGTATGCAATATATATATATATATATATATATATATATATACTACTCGCG